ATCAACTTGACCTTTCCAGGCTCTGAAGAAGGCGAAATCCGCCGAAACGTCAGCTTAATTGTGAACAAAGAATAGTAACAACTCGCGTTTGCTCAACAAAAATACGAAGAAAATCGCTTGATCAATGCCGAGGTTAATAGAAAGTCGGTCGTGGCAGTTACAAATTGTTTGACAAGTGTATTTTTCAATCGAAAACGAATGGTTGAAGTTAGTTTGATAACATGCAAAACACAAACGAAGACAAACACGACCACTCGAAACTAAATCTAATGCCAATGAAGCAACCAACTTCTTCAAACGGCAAGGACTCGGTGGCACTCTCCAAGTCCCCATCCTCAACGTCTCCATCAGCACGACTTTCCTCTTTCACAGCAGTATCCATATGGTCCAAAGTCACCTTAAACACTCAACGTTGATGAAATTCAATCAAATAGTGGATCATGAGGAAAGCTCTAAGGCTTTAAGTTCAGGTGCTCTCAGACACGCGAAGCTTCGTTCACACTCCAAGAGTTGCTAACCCAACGTATGCAAAACTGGAATTGTTTACCTACAATTCCACGCTTAACAGACTTTGACACCCTGTCAAATGGCCAGTTGCTAACAGCTTTTGTATAGCACTCGCCATTCAGACGCGCTATGTTTTCAGTAAGTCGCTCTATTTTGCGACCTCTGGACCAAGATCCACATAGCTAGAGGATTCTGATGATCATCTCGTTGAACATAAACTTAACAATGCAAACGAATCTATCCATTCTCATAAGACTTAACTTCTTGAGGGTCACTAAAAACCAATTTTTCAGCACGTGTTACGCGGAAAGAGGACGTAGAAGTGTCACTAGTTCGATGTTTTCAGGGAGCAGAAAGCGCTATAGTCGCATTTAATTTATCGATTTCTAGTCGTAAGTTAACTCATTGCACTTTCGCAGGGTATACGCTGACTTTATTCTATTATTTACATTCATAACCAGTCATCACATCTATTGTGCGGATCACAGCACTTTTTCCCACATTCGATTCGTTAACTTTTCGTGTTAGTCGTTCACAAATATCTTCGAACATTTCGCGTGCCAGTTCCCGGGAAAGGCTCCCTATTAACCTCGGCATTGGAATATAAATGCGTCGTTTTCTTGCTTAGCATTTGCGAGGTTGTTAAACAGCATACATTTACGTCCATAGAAAACCACAACACAACACAACAGTAGCTGATATTTCGGCAGTATCGCCTTCTTCAGAGCCTGGAAGGGCATACTGATGTACAATTTACTAGGCCAAACGCTTCAATAACACAAAAGACGAAAAACTCCATGGCAATTACGTGATCAGCAGCTTCTCGAAAAGCTTACCACTTTTTACGTGAATTCCAATGAGGAAGTTTAAAACAGCTGATTATAGTCGCGTATAGTGACTACACCACTCCGCGTCAGATATTGATGCAAAGACATGGACCAGGTCGCATGTAACCTCCCTGCTATTCATTGTGGGGTTTTTGGCATTTATCCAAAAAGCCTCAAGAAGTTTGCGCGCTGGTGTTTTAGTCACCTGTGCGAGGATATTGACTTCAAAATCGTTTCCGCTATGCTTTTGTATCCTATGCGTGCCTAGTGGGGTGCTTTGCCTCAGTTTTCGTTTGCCATCTAGGTGTTCTTTTATACGGATACACAAAGGTCTGCCCGTTTCGCCAATATATTCATCTCCGCAATTATTACAAGAGATCAGGTATATCGTACCTGAACTCATGCAATCACCGTTCCTGCCGTAAGGGCAAATTATGCAATTTGTTGCTTCACATAGACAGTCATACAGGCGGTTACGAACTAACTGACGACGTAGAATAGCCGGTGGTATTTTAACTATCGCTGCCGATTCCTCTAGACCTGCCCTTCTTAACCATCGTTTTATAGCTACACTTACTTCATCGCCAATAAAGGGCAGCATAAACGGAGCTTGCCTTTGGCCAAGTGTCTCGTTTTGGAGCGTCGCTCTCCTTCTAAACTTATCTCGTGCGGTAAATATGTCGTAGCCATTGGAGACAAAACGGGCAGACCATTGTGTATCCGTATAAAAGAAAATCTAGATAGCAAACGAAAAGCAAGGCAAAGTACCCCGCTAAGCACTTATAGGTTACAAAACATATAGGTGACGATTTTTATAACAGAGTCAATATCCTCGCACAAGAGACTAAGGTACCAGCGCGCAAGTCTCTTCAGGCTTTTTGGATAAATGCCAAAAACCCTACAATGAATATCAGGGAGGTCTCGCATCAATTTCTGATGCGGAGTGGTATAGTCAGCACCTATATGCGACTATAATCAGCTGTTCTAATCCTCCTCATTGGAAATCACCTAAAAAGCGGTGAGTTTATCGAGAAGCTGTTGATCATGTAATCGCCATAGAGTTTTTCGTCTTTTGCGTTATTGAAGCGTTTGGCCTAGTAAATTGTACATCAGTATACCCTTCCAGGCTCTGAAAAAGGCGATACTGCTAAAATATCAGCTACTGTTGTATTGTATTGTGGTTTTCTATGGACGTAAATGTATGCTGTTTAACAACCTCGCAAATGCTAAACAAGAAAACGACGCATTCATTTCGCGTACCATCTCAGCGGCTTCCTGAGGATTCCATCTTTTTTATGAATGTCGTAGAATACTGGTAGAGTCGATTCTCCCTGCAATCTTGGAGAAAGCATAGCTAAGACGCACCCTTGTGGAATGCAGAGTGTTGAGGGTGAGTAGGAACTAGCGTCACGCTTCCTGATGGACGGCATCACTAACCACTAGCCTCCACTGTTCGCGCTTTATCCGCAGAGAATTTATGCAAGATTGTAGCATCTTGTCCAACACTTCTCAATATTCCAACAATAGTACTATTGCAGAACAATGGAATTCTGGTTAAGAACTTCAAACCAGGGTCGCTTTGGCTATTCAGAATGTCCACAACCGCGTCTTCGGCAAACTAATTGAAAGCCAATTCTCGTGTCGATGAACGCAACGGCATCTCGCGATAGTTCGATGAGTTTCGCTATCATGTGCATGTGATCCAACGTAGAAAACGTTTTTCAAAACCTGTTTTTAGAACCGTTGTCTCTCTCTCTAGTCCAGTAGTCTTCCAGTTCAGTCGAGGATGACCCAAAAAACCAGTTTTACTCGACAGCAGAGCAACTGCAAGAAAGTTATCCATACCACGCAAGTTCCTCTTCTTGTGCGAATGATCGGTCAGCCTATTTCCAATGACTGTAAGCTTTGCATTGCCACATGTGATGTGGCTGAAGCTGTAGTGCACTAGAGTAAAGAACTGTCCTTCAGAACTGCCCCTTAGTAAACGTTTGTATTTTTCAATACTTTTAAGATTTCATGCCACAATGTACCTTTTGACAGGATAGCATATCAGATTTTGAAAGACAATAACCGTCTGGACCACAAATGGACGCTCTCTAACCTAGCATAGCGGAATATAGCTCCCGATGAGATCCGAGTACAAACGGTGGACGATTTTACCCAATTTCCTATCTTTCTAGATACAATAACTATTTCATAGAAACTAGAAGGCATTCATATATATATATTTGTGTAATAAAAAGGATAAAGCTCGGCTTTGATCAATCTCTGAGGGATGTGCTTGGCATTCGACTTCATTAAGCATCGTTGGAGGAGATTGAATGCATATTTGGCCTTTAGAATGACCCGCGGTGGCCAAACGATGTATCGAGCCAGTGCTGCTCTCCTCTCAGACAAGTGTGGTACCAATTTGCCGACCCCGGAGGGATAGAAGGCTCGGTGTGCAATGGGCGAGGAGATCGATTCCACGTGTGTGTCGCAGTGGCGCCTCCAACCACTGCGCCAAACGCGCCCTTTATACTTATATATATATATATATATATATATATATATATATATATATATATATATATACCACTGTATATTTAGTGAGAAACGCCCTGGTGGGTTCTTTTCGCGGTCATTGCTGTGCCAAGCTTAACGCTAATGTTGCTATTGTTTTCTCTCTTTTTACATACATATATATATATATATATATATAACTTCTCCGCTCGTTTCAAACCAATATCGTGCTAGAAAGGAAGTTAAGATATTGCTCAACCTTATTCGAGAGTTCGACAGTTCGACTAACAGACCTCGTCTATCTCGTCTTCGTCGTCAGAAAGATGCTCTGTTTCATGAACTTTGCGGTGACACTGGACTATCTTCGGCACCTTTCTGTCGGCTTCGTCGTTACTTTCTTCACCAGAATCTGCGCGGAAAAATTGCGATAAAACGACACTAAGAACAATAACGGTGGGATAAGTTACCATTAGTCTCAGATTCTTCGTTCTTCTTCTGAGCCACTAGTTTTCGTTCTTGCAGAAGCTTTTCAAAAATTGACAACGAAACTTTGAGAACCTGTATGCAACAAATAGACAAGATCAGGAAGAAATAGACCCTCAATGAAAACACAAACCATTGTGATGGTATTCGCGGTAATGCAAAGTTTTCAGTCGTTAGAAACTCAACTCTCAAGGAAATACACTTCCACTTGGAAACTGATCGTGGCACATTCTTGCAAAACTTTGACATACTCAGACCTGTATTTTTGTCAAGATCGTGTCGGACTAAGTCGAATTTTTTCCAGCACATACTGTGTGAATCATGTGAGGACTCAATCTCTTCTCGTCTACTTTTTCACTCTATGCGTTGGTATTCCCATGTGTTTTGTTTACAGTTTCTATTTTCCTCACTTTTTCTTCCATAATTTTTGAATGTTTCCAACTCTTGTGCACGATAAGAAATAAAACTCGTCCAACAGCAATCACAGTGCTCTCAGTCTTAAGCAATTCGTTTCAGAAAATAGTATAGGAGTATATCTCGCGACTTTTCCATATTTTCTATATGCATACAGTCTATACGATGGTTTACCATAACGATTTCAAAGGAAGGAACAATCAACCAACTAATAGCCAGTGATTGAATTTGACATACACTGAATCATATCTGCCGAGTAGGAGCTCAACTCTATCATACGATAAGGACACTGGGGAGGATAAGGATAAGGAACCTTGAGTGCGGTCCAACAAAGAGCACGAACTTTGTCGGACAATGGGGAACAAAGTTGTTAATGAAAGAAAGGGTCAGCTGGAAATGCTCAAGTGTTGTACCTCATGACCCCTTCAACTCTTTTGATTGTCATTCCGACGATGATGGAAACTTCTGTCTTCTGCTCAAGTGCACAGAACGAAGACACGTCTATGAATTACTTTTAGAATATAATTGGGACCTGACTGACAGAGGCCGTAAACGGAAGTGCCAGTTGTAGGAACTGAGTACTGTCGCGGAGATAACTCATGAAATGACTCATCAGTTTTGCCTTCAGATGGGAGGAATGGCTAGATTATTACTGCTGAGGGATTTTTAGAATCCCAACACTGCTGCTCCAGACCATCCTATTGCTACCAAAGTCATTCAACCTATGATTTTTTAAACATCATACATTTACTTCCATAGAAAAACACACAATGCAATACAACAGTAGCTGACGTTTCGGTAGTATAGCGTTCTCCAGAGCCAGTTTAGGCTCTAAAGAAAGGGCATAGTTATGGAACGTCAGCTACAGCTGTTTTGTATTGTGTATTTTCTATGGAAGTAAATGTATGCTGTTTAAAAACCTCGCGATTGCTGAACAAGAAAACGACGCATTCATATATCAGTGCCGAGGTTAATAGAAAGTCGTTCCTGGAAAGTGAAATCGGACGTTTCATATGTTACAACCCTAGTACTTCAGACTCTTTCTTGACCTTATTAACAAAAATTATGAAAGTCGATGACGGGCTCAATAAAAAAGTTTGTATTGCTAAATATCTCGCGCGCATAGAGATGGAGTATGTAAGCAGTGCAATCCGATAAAGACCTATCCGAAAATGGAAGTATTTCTGACAGGTAGGACTTCAACGGCCGGACGTCCCTAATGGGCTGTTTATAACAGCAGCTATCGCGATCGCGTAAAAATTCCAAACAATCGAATTCAGATTTCAATTTAAATACTATGTATGTTTTGAATTAGCGTTTTGCAAAACTGTGTGCACACCCGAAGCAATAGAGAGGAGTTGCCTTTATGTTTGTTAAGAGCTCCTTCCCATAGTCTCCAACGATAATGGAAAGCAATTTTAATCTCCATTAACACAACTGTGCAGCGAACACCGATTTGTTCGAAGCACTAAACAAATGAACTCTGTGTTCCTGATCGAAAAGCAGCGGATCACTCATGGCTTCGATAGTTTCTTGCAGAAATGTCCAGCGAACTCCACCAGGAAGAAAATGGAAACAAAACAGTGTACGTATACCACTGAAAGACATCTAAGGAATTCCACTTTGTAACTTGCGAAAGCTGACAAATAAAAAATTATGGTGGCTCCACCAGAACGCTCAATCTATCTAATATTTCAGCACTGGCAACACTCACACCAATTAGAAGTATAACATGAGTAAAGGCCTGTTCAAATGCAAGAGCAGAAAACTGTTTCTACACCATCAACATGGATAAAGTCATCCAAACCGAAGCGTAAATAGAATGAGCATTCGAAATCCTACAACACCACCCCTAATAATGTGACGAGGAGAGTTCGTCTAGTCCAGTAACCTAATCTCTAAATGGGAAAAGAACGCCAGAATGAGTGAAAGAAAAAAATGAATGCTTAGAAGCATTGATTTCCGGCAACTGCAAACAATAAAATGTCAGCTCGCCATGTTAGTTAACTCAGTTTAGCGAAAACCTCTGAGAACAAAGCATGACGCTTTCTCGGCTATTCGAGCGAAAACTGTCAGTTTTGCTCTCACTTGGCCCATGGTCGCACACAACAAATTTATATTTGCTTTTATACATAGTTATTAGAATATACAAGATTTCGTCCTTAGAGGATAAAACGTAGGCATAAAAAAAGAACGCGTAGACTACCTTTTTGGGATTCGTGGAAATGAGAGATGGTCGTAAAGATGGTGGCAGTTGAAAGTAGAGGCATATTCCAATAAGCGCCATTCTTCTAAGAAGGTATGCTAGAAATGGCAGCTTTTGAACAAAAAAAAAGAAGCGTACTTGTCATGGATTCCTTTCATTTTTTTGTAACAAGTGAAGAATTCGTCACAAATGCATTCCAGAAGATTAGAGGGATCTGGAGCAATTTGATGAAGGGCTTGCAGGGATACGTCAAGGTTCATGTACAAAGCAGCAACCACAACCTAGAAATTTTTAGTACTTTGGATAAAAAAAATTCAAAATATTGATGAATGGTTTCCGTGCTATAAAGCATAATTATATCAGACGAAGAACTAGGCTAAGCTCAGCAGGAAAAAAAACGAAAGGAAAAGGCGCACAAGGATCACATGCGGCTTCAAATTCATTCCCTCTTCAAAAGGCTTGGTAAGCCGTTCGAACATTGTCATCAGGATTGTGGGTATAACCTAAACCATAAGTAAGCAGTACGAAATGTGGAATAAATTCTTACTATTAAATGAGTAAAATACCTCTGTATTATGGCTAGAGCACTCAAAAAGAATACATTCCATTATTTTTGTGGCATATAATCGACGTTCATCTTTAGCAGAGTCAGTCTATAAGCGTCTAGATTATATTGCGAAATATAGCCCCAACACCAACCTTCAACATCAGCAAAGAGACCCGATCTCGCGATTTGACAATTACAGAAGCTAAGACAAAGGTAGAGCTTAACATGAAAAGAACCAAAATTGAAAAGGCTCCTCTGACCATCCAAAGAATGAGTACTAAGAATGATAGCAAAGAGGACCTTCATAGTTGTAATACACATATCCAGGACAACAGCAACTCTGTGGGGGAAAGCAAGAAAGCTTTCAGTGTGCGTCACGATATACAAATGCAACACTTGACCGAGTTCTGAAACAAATGTCTACATTAGGTGAAAAGTGATCAAAACACCAGTAACGACAAGAATCACATATAGCTCACGCGTGAGAGAACTGGCCGTAGGCGGCCCGAATGACTCATCTTACTTTTCGTCTTTTACTTTGTTGTATAATGCTGTATTCTGCGCTTTTTGAAATCATTCAATACCTATTCCAAGAAAGATGTTGTGCCAGTTAACGAAAAATGCTCTATTCTGAACTTCGAAATGTACAAAAAACCCTTTTTCGATTGAGTTCATTGACCAAATAATTCACCGATACCGATAGACACCGATAGTTACTTAAATTTAACTCGATACGATGAATTATGATCATCGTATGTAAAAGGCGAATGTGGATAGTACCTAAATAGAATCAACATAAGCTGCAAAATACTTTCGAATACTGACAACAATCCTTGCGTGATAGACCACAGTCACTTTTGTAATATAGTAGCATACATACTATGCGCATCCACATGCGATAAAGCAGTTTATTTCAAATAATGTCATTTTCTCAACATCTCAAGCTCTTTAAATTATCATCTACTGTCAAACAACCAGCAAGCCGGTAACGACATAAATTTGGGTGCCAGCGCCACAAAGAATTAGGTGTGAGCACTGATATATTAAATTAACTTTTCATTCTTTGTTAATCACATTGCTGCCCCAGTCGAAACTACGATCGGTCACTAATTTATTAACATTACAATAAAAAAGTGGTCTCACCAAAAGAAGGAAGTACGTAGATGCCATCGTGTTCTTTGAATACGTCGTACAAATGGTCAAGAACACCCCACAGAGGGTCACTTACGTATGAATGCAGAATAGATTGGAGAAGACGTAGCGCTTCTCGATAGAACGCTGAAGGCGTTTCAAAAATAATGCGTCATTGAGTATAAAATGTGCTCAACACAATTCTACAATTCTACATTTCAGACCGGTAAATATTCAAAGAGATCTTCATAAATAATGACAGATTACAAACACTCGACTTACTAGGAGCAGTTTCAAGCATCGCATCAACGACCTTCACAACACTTCCTTCTACTTTCACCAAAGTCACCATATGACCTTTTGCAATCTACAAAAATACTACTGCTTCATCTATAAGCCATCCTCGAAAAAATATTTTAAAAAATCATACGAAACTTACGATTTTACGGAAGGTATTAGGTATTCCAAAGAAAATGTGAGCAGGCGACTCACCAAAAGTAAAAGTGCCAAGTAGCTCCAAGTATATATGGCACTACAAAAAAAAACGGGCATGATTTCATACATATTCCACAAGTCTACAGAAGATAGAGAAAACTCACCAAGTGCTCAGCAACCTCCGAGGCAATAGGAACAATGTCTTCGTTATATTGCTCAAGTAATTCATCAATCACATAAACCACAGCCATAATCTTTGTTTTCGCTAGCAATTCTAACACCTTCACAATAACAACGCCCACTGATGGGCGCATGAGGGCATGGACTGTAATGCATAAAGATGAATTAAGAAGAGTTAGAAACCAGATGTAAGTAGAAGCAAACCTTTCTCTTGATGTTTAAGGAGGCACTGAATTGTTAAAGCTGATTCAACCTTCACTAGCATTCGTTCGTTCTGATCACCAAGGCGATGCACTAGGCTATCAATAATCTGCAAACTTCAACCTGTAGCAAAGCACTTAGGTAGGAACAGAACATTAAATATATATGAATCTCACTATAAGAGGTGAAGAAGGTAAATGTATAAAAAGACTACCTTAGCAAGAGCATCCGTTTGAAAGAGACACGACTCAGAATACTGCTTGATGCACCATGCTGCTCGAGCTCGAACAAATTTGGATGGGTGCCGCAAATGACCGATAACAAAGGTTTTCAGCATCTGTTCAACGTTGTGTTCGCATTTCTAAATCATTTCCAACACATGCAAAAAATCGCAGCACGTGGAAATTAAAAGAGATAAAAATAGTGATCAAGAAAGAAGCAATATCAGAACGAAAAACAAGAAATCAATGATGAAACCGTCATTTGTCATTCGCTGTAACTGCTTGCATACACTTTTTAAACTTGTTTTATATGTTCCGTCTCCACGTCTACTGCGCGGATTAAAGTGTTTCTCACATTCGATTCGTCTACTCACGTCCATCACCCACGAAGGTCTTCAACATTTACGTGTGGCTTCGGGTGCTGCTTGAGAACTTTCATTTCGTCTTGAAAGTCGTAGAATGATGGTCGAGTCCATTTTTCATGAAGTCTTGGGATAGCCTCGCTGGATCGTTCCCATTTTGTCTGCAGTAAGTGATTTTTCCCCCGACAATTCTGGTACTAAAAGGGATGAGAGCTTCGGTGAGGGTGGGCGGCATCGAACCAGCAACGTGCTCGCGATGACCAGAATCATCACCGCTCCAATATCTGCCCTATTACCGAATATTACCTAAAACAGCTGTCGCCCGTTGCCAGTCGAGTAACTCGGGCGCCAATAAATCTTTCATGTTTCCCTGCCGCGTGCAAGAGCAGCGCAGTGGGTTCTCCTCACCATCGGTACTCATTGAGCATCGTATCTACCTTCTACGCTTTTCGTGAAGAACTCTGACCATCGGGCCGGTGGTCTTCCTGCAGCGCGTTTAACATCCCGAGGAATCCAGTCACTAACGCCTCCTATCTACCGGTTGCTATATGCATTACGCATCCGGCGCCCCTTATCTTCGGCTGTTTGGCGTACTGAACGGCATCTTCGATTTTGATCGTTGACGCAGGTCTAAGCTTCAGATATCTTCCTCTACTTGCGTAACACGGGATACTCCTAGCATCGTCCTTTCGACTACGTGTTCAATAACCCTGAGCGATTTTTCATATTCTTGACGGAGCGATCAGGTTCCCAACGCATACTCACATACCTTAACGCAGAAAGTAGAAGTACCGTTGACTCGAAAAGGTGTAAAGGAATCGGATATTCTTTGTTCTCCTCACTGTTTCTTCGATGCTCCTAGGAACTCGCTAAGCAGTTCGTTTTTTTCAGAACAGTTCTGGAGCTAAGTCGCTCATTATACTGATTTTCCAACCTAGACAGACGTAACTAGAGCATTCTGAGATATTCGTTCCGTTGAGCCTGAATGGGGCACACAAAATCACTCTGTTCCTCACGAACATCGTTTTTGTGAGATTTAGTCGAAGACCAATCTTTCCACAGGCTTTATCAAAATCGTCAAGCATACGTTCCGCTTGGCTAATGCTTGGTGTTATAAGGACGATGTTACCAGCAAAGCGAAGATGGTGTAATTGCAGACCATCGATTTTCACTCCCATGTTGTCGCATTCAATGTTCGCATGAGGTTCTCGACGGCGGCGATAAATAATTTCGTCGAGATGGTATCGCCTTGCCTAACTCCTCTTCTGATGTCGATGTTAATATCGTTGTAGAACAGTGATATCTTGGTTGTGAAATTTTTGTACAGCTCTCGAAAAATCTTTATGAACTGGGCATGGACTCCTTGACCACCAAGGACTTCCATGATTGCTTCTATCTCAATTGAGTCAAAGGCATTTTTAAATAGATGAAAGTGAGACAGAGCGGTCTTTTGTGCTCTGGCGATATTTCAATGAGTCTTGTTGTCATGTGGATGTGATCCATCGCACTAAATCCTTTTCGAAACCCTGCTTGCTGGCTGCCCTTCGTTCAGTGTTCTGTTACTCCTGTCAAGGACGACTCGAGTGAACAACTTGTAGACTACAGATAGCAAGTATATTGGGCGATATTTGTCGACCTCATGGAGGTCGTCATTCTTGGACAAGAGTACGGCGTTGTTGGTATTCCATTGAGTAATAACCTTGCAATCAGACAGGTAACGTGTGAAGAGCCGAGCCAGTATATTTACGAGGACTGGCGGAAGGTTCTTCACGTGTTCACATCTCATCTTGTCCGGAGCTGGTGCTGTTCGATTTTTCACCGAGAAAGTGGCAAGTCCGATTTCGGAAGGAAGATTTGGTGATAGAGCATATCCATCGTTCTTTATTTCATATGGCGGAAGGTGTATATGATTATCGAAGAGATCTGAGTAGTTCCCTTGAATGATTTTCTCCATGACCTTTCTGGACGCCACTACTGTTCCGTCTGGGTGTCGGAGTGCAATCATCTTGATCTTGCAATTGGCGAAAGAGGTGGGCTTTTCGAACGCTTTTCCCAGTTTCTACAGCTTCGACTATTATCGCTGCTCCTATCTCTTTCAGATCTTCTTTTATTGCCTGTCTGCATTGTTTTGCAGGTTAGGACGTCAGTTCGCGGTTGCCTGCAGCTCGTGCGATTCCACGCTGGCGTATCAGCTCCAATTTTTTCTGGAGACAGACGTCTCTTGGTGACTTTCGAACTCTCAGCTTTCATAGCGCTAACGTGAAGATGTTGATTAAGCCGATCGCATTCTTCGTCGATGTTATCGACAACGGCATCTTCCTAACAGCCGACTAATGAATTGAATAAGTCCCAATTTACAGTGGTTTTGGAACTTCGTTTTTTCAATTTAGTGGTTTTTCTTGTTTCTGCGAAAAATGGAATAATGCACGAAGGAGGTGGTGGTCTGGTCACGTGTAGAATTTTGGGACAACAACGAAATCGGTTAGGCAAAACCTTCGGTTTACTGTGATGTTGTCTATTTCGTTATGGTACTCTCCACTGGGAGACCATAAGTCGAGCATTGAGGGTGGGGCTTCTGGAACTGGGAGTTACCATGGATAGTCTCGGTCGCCATGATAAGCTCAGAGAGCCGCTCATCTTATTCGTTCCATTCTAATCCGTAAGTCCCAATGTGATGTTTTTCAGACGTTCTTCTTGGTCCAACCTTGGCGTTAAAATCTCCAATGTTGGCTTTGAAGAATGTATGCTCTTCTCTTTAGAACTTCACCGAGTCGACATACAACGCTTTAACTTCTTCTTCGTCATAGTTAGATGTCAGCGTGTAAACGACGAAGGCTCTCAAATCTGGTATTGATCCACATCTTTTTAACCGTAGACGTCCGATTGGGGTTGTAAGTTGCTCGAATGAATGGATGTTCATGGACAAACTTGTGTTGACGAGAACGCCGACGCCGCCGACTCCTCTACTGTCACATGTTTCGAGGAACAGTTCTTCTCCGATGTCTTTGACGGCGTTGAATGGGTGGCGTCATCTCGTCTCGGCCAGGCCGTTTACGTCGTAACTTATCCTTCTTGCTTGCATGAGGAAGTCTTCTATCGAGGACTCGGATGGAAGTGTACGCGCACTGAAAGTGCAGATCATCACCTTAGTTCTTCGCGATCCAGTCAGCTTCCATTGGCCCTGAGATTTTAGCAGCCTCTCCGTACTCGTCCTACCCAGCGCTACCGGATTGGGGGCTCTTTCGAGGTCAAAGGAATGAGGCTCGTTTGTTTTGCTGTCTCTACAGTTTGATACCCACGTATAGGTTGCTGGGCTCTGAACGTGCGTGCTTGGCATACTCACAGATAGCTTGCCAGTTTTTGCCAGAGTAGACATGGAGCTTATTTGTTGGAGGCAATTCCTAGCCGCCACCTATATATTTCCCTGTCACTTCATTGCAGGTTCTTGGCCAAATTGACTCGCAGAATACAATCCGCATAAGCGAAAATGCACCTACAGACGCGTGCATGAATACACCTCTCAGATACAGAAAGGATGTGCCAAATTGGCGCAGCAGAAACATCGAGTCCATCCTCTGGATCCACCTGCGTCTCAGGAAAAAATATGATCGCTTTTGGTTTGCGATTAAACCCATATCCACCACCTGGGGAGGCGCCACGTGGCCTCGCGACTAACTGGCTCGAGATCCCTTATATGAGGGACCTTCGTGGACGCAGGCAATAACGATAAAATACGAAGTTATCGGTCTGGTCGAGACGAAAAGACACCACCCATTCGCCGCCATCTGTGATATAGGAGAATAGCTCTTCCATGGAAGGTGCGGCAGTAAAAGAGCCGGCGACGTCGGCGTTCTCGTCAACATGAGATTGTTGATAAACCTTGATTCATTCGAACGATTGATAACTCGAATCGGTCGTTTACGTTTGAAAAAATGTGGATCAACACTGGCCTTGACAGTGCCCAATCATTGACGAAGACGATGTTGAAACATCCGAATAGGGTTGGAGAATTTCCACAGAAGAGACCGCACATTCTTTAGAGTTAAGAATGGGACAAAAAGAAGGTCTGAAGAACATCACATTGGGACCCAAGGTTTAGAACGAAACGAGCAGGGTAAATGGCTGTCTGAATTTATTACGACGACCAAAACCATTCATGGTGTCCTGCAATTCCAGAAGCCCCATTCTCAACAATGGACGTGGGAGTCATTTAATGGAGAGTAACAGAACGAAAGAGACGTAAAAAATCAAAGGTTTTATCTAGCCAATGTCGCTGTCACCCTAAAGTGCTATACGGGATCAGACCATCGCCTCTCTCGGGCAGGATTCCATTTCTCGCGAATAGAATAAAAAGCTGATAAATTCAAAAAATAAGGTTCCAATACCACCATAAACTGGGATTTTTTCAGTTCGTTAGCCAATTTCTAGAATGATGCCGTTATTCATAACATCGACAAGGAATATTATTGGCTCCTTCAATATCTTCTCGTTAAGGCTATGGAAGCTGACAGCTCGAAACTCTCTAGGACATGTCTATCTCAAGAAACACTCTAAGTGACACGCCAACTTGGAATATCACGAGGTACATGCAAGCGCAAACTCACGCTCGCACTTGCAAAACAATGCAAAGCAGCGATGAAAGACGATCATAAAGACAGAAAAGCAACAGTTATGGTCACCCAAACAGAATAGTTGCAGCCTCTAAAAAGACTTCAACAGCTACGTGTCCCTACCTTCATACGAAATAGGGAGGG